TATATATCATTAATCAAATGTAAACATGCACAAGTTGGCAAAAAACTAAAGCGATGTTCTTAAAATTAACTTGTCATGGTTAAATTCCTCCCACCATATTTTAAAGAAGGAACTCGTTTGACTGCAATTAAGAGACGGAATTTACCGCCGTCAAATTAATCCAACTAAAGTTTAATGCATTCTTTTTTTCAATTTTAGTTTTAAAACTTCTTGAAATTTCGCGTTGTCCATATTTGCCGTGTGAGTGCCACGTGATGCACCCTGGGCAACGTATACTCATACGACAAAAAGTCTATTAATTGGCAGTTGACTTCTCACTTCGAACTACCATCACCCAACTGTATGTTATATTCGACTACTTCCACAGTACACACCTCACCTTTTTCTACCTTTGTGTCTGTCTCTTTTACATCTTTGAAACACTCTTCTGTTCCCCCCCTTCTCGACTTATTCACTTTGATGTACCTTCCCCTCTGTGAAGCCTGAAGTCAACTAAAGGCCTAATGATAACTATCAAACCGCATGCCATTTGATATAAATATATAAATAAATAAATATATCTACCTGGTAGTGGCACACTATCATGAGGTTCATGATCGATTGGTTGATTTCAAAGTAAAAACTTATTTTTTTTGCTTAATGACAGAATACATGGATAGTTTGAAATATAAGTACATGATTCCAATTTAAGAGATCTTCAAATCAATGGCATTTTATAAAACGAGATCAAGCACTTGAACTATTGATTATCAGAGAGAATTTAATGCATCATAGATCTCCCTTTAATTTTTAATGCATATATATATATATATATATATATATATATATTCGATTCAAATGAAAAGTCATCGATGTTCACCTGTTTGGGGAGCCCAGAAAGGTTGATGAAATTGCTGTTGGGAGAGGGATCGTTGGATGAAAGCTCCATTGGGAGAAGCCCAAGCATAAGCTGTAGCAACTGCCACGGAGTTCTGCTGATGTTGAGAAGACTGGGGTATGTAGTAGGGAGGTTGCATCATGGGCTGTGTTGACGTGGATACGTCAACAAGCTGGCGCTGAGCTGTTGAGTAATCACCCACACCCCAACCACCACCCACCATTCCTGGCACATAGGGCATTCCATTGCCCGTCTGTCCACCTAGAAGACTGGCCGATGCGTATTCGGGACTCATTGTGCCTAAAATAAATAGGAATATAATAGAGTAAGAAACAATCTAACATCCACCATTTCGAGAATTAACAATAGGGTTAAAATTTGATTCGATTCACATTAGTAATTTAGTAGTTATAATTGGGTGGGCAAGGGAATGACCATTAGTATTTTTTTCCAAATGAAAAATTTTATTTTGTATATATTAATCGAATGAGAATATATAAATTCCGAATCAGTGTTTTACTAAGAATATTGCCTTGTAGAGGAGGCAACTTTGCATTCGAGACGATTTCATTCTCGCAGTTGAAAAGGATAAACAGGTGAACATGAAGTGTTTCGGGTTAAATAATGAAGCACTTCGGGTATTCAAAGCGTGATGCATTAGTAATTTATTAACTCGAGTTATCTTCTAAAGTCTTTCATAATTGTATTGTCAAATCGAGATTTTGAAGGTAAGTAATCTGCTAAAAGCCTATCCAATCCAAGAACTGCGGCCTGACATATACACTGGAAAGAGTCGATGATGATGATGATAGCTGTGTAGTTGGTGCTATTCTTAGTACACAGACAGTTGAATAGTTTTTAAAATGATGATTTTAGGAAAAGCACTTACTTGCAGCAAGGCTGTCTGCATCAGATTCGCCCTGAACACTTTGGTAAACCACAGAAGACTCCGGTTGGCGATTACTGAAAGTTGGAAAGTAGTTGGTGCCCCGATTCATTGTTTCTGTTCCCCGCTGTTGCTGTTGTTGTTGTTGTTGATATTGTTGTTGAGGTATTTGTTGATATTGCAACAAAGGATGCCCATTCACAATCAGAGTTGGGTTACTTTGCTTCAAGTCGATTTGAATCACTCCATTAGCGGTATGTACAGGCAACTAGATATTGCGCACATAGGGGGAAAAAGAATGTTTCCAATAAATTTTTTGGTACACACGTGATTCCTCCTCCTCCTCCTCCTTTGCCTCCTTCTAAGAGCATGCGCGCACCCATTACCCAATTCAATTATATAAATTCCCCTTGAAATGGAGCAATTGAAAATGTGGTCTAAACTTGAAAGTGTATTGCGAAATTCACTTTTCGAACAATAAATGTGTGCTCCACGCAATTTCAAAGGGAGTCTGGCTTGAAAGAGAGGGAGCGGGGGGAGGGCTGGGGTGGGGTGGGGTGGGGAGTGGAATGTAGAAGAGGGCTTGATTTCACCTTTTTACAGACAAACATGCCAAGTTGAAAATCCTTATCCCGCCCTCCCCCCCCCCCCCCCAACATTGCGATGGCAAATCGTTTTTCATTTGGCGAAAAATAAAATTCGTGTACTCAACAACTCCAGAAATTAATTTAACTCATTACATATCGAAGCAGTGAGAACAAACAATTTTCAAGAATTTCCATTAATCTGTCCCAATGATACTTAAAATCAATATGAAAGCATTAAGCCACCAAGGCAACCCACGTTCCACTTATAGTACAAGAATAGCTAACAAGAATATATATACTCTGACAGCATTTTTCGCCTATTCCATGGCCATAGTTGGAATGAAAGACCTTTAGTACGCAAAAAATGAAGTCTTAATCACTGTCCTACCACTGCCCAGAAATGCTACATTTGTGCCTTAAAGCCTGAAAGCTTGTGATTTCGAATAAAAAGCGACGTTACAATCTATGACAGCTGTTAGATATCTAACCAAGCAATCACTAATACACCATTCCATTAGGGCGCAAATTGTTACAATACTCCAATTCGATCTTTTAATAAATTAATTAATTGGACGCGGGGAATTCCAATTGAACAATTTGGGAAATTATGGAATGAAAGGGATTAGGACACCCACTTCTCATACTAATTAACCACTGTACCTATTTTAAGCGTTTCATTATTGCACTTACAGAGGTAACGGGGAAGGTGGGGGCCGATTGTTGACTTTGGAAGGCAGAATTGGAGGCATTTGGATTCACCGCGGGCGATGAGTGTGAAGACTGCGCCACAACTTGCTCATATTGATGGAACGTCGGGGTGAGAATTCGAGATTTCCCCCTCGTTCGAAACAATTTTGCCGCCACTGACGAGAAGAGCCTTTTCGCCAATGGACGACTATCTGTCGCCTCTCCGTTGTGCGTGGAAGGTACACTTGAGTAGGCGAAGAATTGTCCAGGATCTACGTATAAAATCAGCATCAAAATCCCATGTATTAGAAGTTGGGTCAAAGGTAAGGTCAAATAAACATTTATTGTGAGAGTTTGGCGGGGTTAGGGATTGTTTGTGTTAGGTTAGCAAGTCCTTACACATAATAAAGGGTGAGAGAATAGACATGGGATGATGGTGGCTTAAGAGGCTTGAATTCGCGTATTCATAGTCTGAAAATAAAGTTGTGAATGGAAGTGTAACATATACATATATGTATGCGGTATAGTGATTAGTATAAGTAAATACACGCAAATATTCTTTCCACAACATTAACTAATTCGCCTCATTTTCTCTGAAATTAGGAAATCGCCTTCCTTAGGCGCGGTAAAGGAAAAAAATATTGTTTTGAGGCGTCAATGATTGTGTTTTTTCTTCAGCTTTCTAGTTTTCATTAGCTTAACCCAATACACAAAATTGTTATGCTATTTTCCTCTACACTGATTGGCCATTTAACAGGCAAATATCTGCTTTAAGAGGCGATTTAAACAAAAATCGGGATTAAAGACTAACCATTATTAGGCGTAGTGACATAACTCATGCCATTATCATACGACGGTTGGGAGGTACCGGTGATATTAGAATTTCCCCCAGTGGTAAGTGATAGTCCTGGCCACTTAAATAACCCCGTGGAGTTC